AACTGAGAGAAAAAAGTATGAGGGGACCTCTCCTAGGAAGGGACAGACAAGGACTGGGACGGGACGAGTTCATTTTTTTTTATCTCCACCCAAAAACCTCTACATATGTTCTATGCCCAGGCTACAAAATTCTCGAGAGTGTGAGGTTCAGGCGTTTTGGCTTCCATGCAATGAATTGATGAATGTTATTTTCGTGAGCAAGTGAAGCGCTACGGAAAGGCATTTCCCCCTTTTCGCGGACTTCATTTCTAGGATCCTGGGAGGGATGCCCCAATGGGCCCCATGGAAGTGATGCCTCGATGGGCTCCAATGGGTTCCAATGGACTCCAATGGGAGTGATGCTCCAATGGGCTGAGGGTGTCGGACTGCAGGAATCCTCTCACTATCCGATCAGCGAGCGTACAATAACGAAAGCGTTAACTTCTGGAATCCGCACGTTAGAAACTTGGACCGACCCAAAACGTATTCCAAGGGTGACCTGTCTCTTGCCCATATTTCCACGATACAGAGCTGTTCGATGAAATTCGAGCATGCCATATCTCGTGATCCCAAAATAAAACTAGAGAGAGAGAGAAAGCAATCGAAAAGCAATGCATCATTTCTCCATCTTGAAGTTTTAAAGCAACAACAGATCGCAGTGGCTTCATGAACAGATACTTCATGGGGATAAATTATTTGTTTACTTACTCCTATTCATAATTTAAAAAGTAAAACTTCATAAATGCAAGCGCACGCCTTTTCATCGCGTAGAATACTGAATTCGAATCGTTGCCATCCAACATATTCAATCGTACGACGGGAAGAACGAACTTGTAGGAAAACGCGATCATTTCGTGAAAAGGTTGTTAAACATCTTTAGGATGCGGCAACTGGGCACCGTTATCCAGCAAATCACCCGGCATGTTGCATACTGCACGAGAGTTGCGAGAGTGTGGCCATATCTCTTTAAGTGTTAGACTCACCTGAGCCGAAAGGGAGACTTTCCGAAGAGTTTCCTGACTTTTTCAGAACCGACCGGAATAATGAGCGCCAGGACGAGGGACAGGGTCTCGGTTCCCTTCCGTTTCATGTCTGCACTCCTCCCCCACTAGATGTCTCTCGTGGCAATACAGACTTTGTTTTCACGATTGTTGAAGAGAGAATCGAGACCGTAGATTTCATTCATTTCCATCCCCGCCTCGAGTCTCTTTCTTCGAGTTCAAAGCCCAGGCTCTAGAAAATTCTCGAGGGAATGAGGTTGAAGTGATCGCAGAAAGAGATGCGCCTCCACGGTCACTGAATCCAGACGATACAGCGTTTTCCGGGATGCAAAGCTCCTTTGTATTCTTTACGGAAAAGGAACTGTTGGAGGCATCCGGATCTTCTCACTCTCCCCACTGCGAGGATCCGCACCTGGTTTGCGGATCGATCCAATCGGACGAAGTCACTAAGCTGGAGATTTTTGGCTCGATCAGATTCTCCTTCCATTCATTGCCTCGTTCCCGACGCTGTGCAACATTTTATGCCTGAACTCCATCATCATAGCGATGTTTATTCGACGATCTCCATAGACCTTCCAGGTTGAAACATAGAATTGTCGCTCCTGGGCAAAAAGCGCCCCCTTGGGGCCGGGCATTGCTCGCAGGCAATACCCGAGGTTTTAAGCTTCGTCAAGGTTTTAAACTTTTATTTTAAAACCTTGTTTCCAGTGGCGCAACCAAGGAGGGGGGAGGGGGGGGGGGTTCAGAGGATCTGAACCCCCTTCCCAAACCCTTGCTCATCATAGTATCACTGTTCCTCCATCCCCCTCTCCCCCCGAGGGTGGGGGAGACGCAGAGAGATATCAGGAACAAATGACGTGACAGCGAGGCAAGAAAGGGATAAAGATGGGAGGAGAAAGGTGAAGGTCACGACATCATATGTACTCGCTGTAGTAAAGGAAAAATGTCATGGAAGCGTCATGCACACGTGACACTGCTGAGTTTTTTCGAAAACGGAAGGACGACGACTCGGATGAAGGGCGTAAATCACGTACAGGTTAACGAATTTCCAGCTTCACATCTGCACAGGGAAATCTGGGTTGAATCCTGGAATTAGTTTAGTTGATCTTTAGTTTTTTTTTTGCAGATATCGAATGTGCTTTCATCACTTTCTTTTGAAATCCCGTTTTCACCATTTAATGAAATTTTGCCTTGTTTTATTTTCTATGTTATTGGGTTTCACCTCGCTTTGTAAATATATCTCTCTTGATTATTTGATAACGACTTCTTGCATTTAGAGACATTTGAAAGACAGGTCATAAGAATCTTCCAGAACTCCCCTCCCAGTTTCAAAAAAAAAAAAAAAAAAAAAACTTTAGGGCTGGTTGCGCCACTGTTTGTTTCAAGCAACAACTTTGAGACGGATTCATTCTTGCTTTGAGCAATATGAGTTAGGGATTATTGTCATCGACCTACCAGTCACCCATCCTTTATCCGAGTTCATCTTCCAGGAGAGTTTCAGGAACCTCAAAACATTGCATTTTTAGGGCGAATGCAATGGCTTTCGGACTGATTGCATTGCATTTCAATACTGGGAATTCAAGCGCATTTATCATTCTAATTTCGTATTCATGCCATCGAGATTGATATTTTGGGTGTTCCCGCATAGGTGAAGTTGGCGTACGAGGTGAAGAGCATCGGGTTACGAGAACGGGTTCATCGCCTGCGGCCGTGCGACGCTCGCGATGATTGCAACGGGCCGACGGGGACCGTCCTCTTCGATCCCAGTCTCAACATCTACCGACGCCAAAACCACCATCACGGAGGGAGGCACCCTGGAGACGACATCCTCTACGTCCTACCGCACAGTCTCCTGCTGAAGATGCTCGGACGACCGTACAGATACGAGCCACCGGTCCCCGTCTTACTCGGGAGGTTGCGAGACGCGTCCAGCACCGACCCCGCAGGCTTGCAACCGTCGACGGTTGCAACTCCAGATGAGACCCTGTTTAGGGAAGATGTCTCCTTGTCGTCCATTCGACCTCGAGGTGGCATTCAACTGTCGATGTTGCGGTTCACCCCTTCGACGACTCCGAATCCTCTTGATGTGGATTTCCCCACACCGAATCCCATCATCATTCCGCATTCGGTCTCTCCGTCGGTAGAGCTCACTTTCCACCTTCCGACTTCAACACCCTTGCCGGATGCAGCACCTCCGCAGAAAAGAGCACCTCGCGGCGACTCTAATGCCTCCTCGACTGTTTTTCCTTACAAGATGTCCACATTCGGACCCGAAGATGCCATAACTACTACGACACAGAGTTCGATTCCGGTGACGTTGACGGCAACCTTGTCGACGCGACCGTTGCCGACCCGCTACCACATTCGATATTCCAATGATGGAGTGATCGTGACTCCTAACCCTTACCTGGTGACGAGTGAAGACGTTCGGTTGCAGACAGGGCAGGTTGCCACAGATCAGAATGACCTGTACTCGTCGACCAAAAGTCCCTCTACTAATGGATACGGCGCAACAGTCCGGTTGACATCTCCACACTTCCTCAAATATCGTCACGGTGACAAATCTGAAGAACGACTTAAATCGACTTCTGAAACCTATGGCAACATTTATCAGACATCCTCGAAACCTGTGCCTGAACCTTCGTATCAAAGCTACACACCTTCGTCTTTGGAGAAACCACAGGAAAATTATCACAACGAACATGACGAAATTCGCCAACCGGAACGATCCTACACGAGCCATTCGCCTTCGTCTTCGGTTAACCCGTATGCAACCTTTTATTCGTCCTCTCCAGAGCAACCAAACAGAGTCTACTCTCGAGGGGAAGGTTACAGGAATGACTATGAAGCCAATGAAGACGGCTCTTCAAAACTTCGAGATTCGCACGGAAGATACTCGTCCACTTCTGCTGGGAAACCCTACGACACGGGCTCGATTGCCACAGGGCAAGGGTATGGGATTCACTCTCTGGAACTCCCTCAGCGTTCGTACGAGAACTATCCGTCCACTTCCGGCCAGAGAGCTTATGGAACCTCCTCACCGGAATCCTCAGAGGAACCCGATACTTATCCTTCAACTCCTGCTTGGAAGTCACACGAGGCTCGTTCCCCAGCACCGTCCACATTCCCAACATCCCAGACGTCGTACGACAAGCACTCGACTTTTGCCGATGGACCACCGGAGACATACTCGACAGCAAGAAAGCCATACGAGAACTACTCGACAGTTGCAGAAGGATACGAGACGTTTTCTGCAGAAAATCCGCCTAGGACGTACTCAACCGTCGCTAAACCGTACACGAGGTCTACTACTTCTGTCGAGAAACCATACGCGAAATATTCAACCACCACGGGGGAAATATACAAGACGCACTCTTCAACCGCTCCTGAAAGGTCGTACGACTCTCCTTCTCGTGACGAAGTCACGTCATATGGACAGAGAAGTCCAATCAAATCAAAACCGTATGATGAAGGAACCGGCCTCGACGATGGTGAATCGACAAAATCTGATAGTTCCTATTCAAAACCTGCAGCACAACACCATCACTCCGAATACTACGGCACTGATAATGACTATTCTCCATCAGCTGCATCACCGCATAATGCCGATTCTCGATATTCATCAGGAAGCAAAGATTCCTATGCTAATTCCTTGGCTCCTTATGATGAATCTAGCGAAGGGAGCAGGTACGATATGGAATACGCATACAGTGAAAGTCCTAATATCGTCAGAATTTCCAAACACAACGATAGACTGGCAGATGACAGACGACACGGTTCAGACAATGATGTAGATACTTACTCACAGCCATGGACTGAAAGTAGCAAGAAAGAGGAGGTGATTGCAAGAAAAGGCCATTTTGACATAGAAGTCGGCGGTACTGGAACCTCCAAAAGGTTACAGGGAGTGGTGAGGTTTTATACAACACCAGCTCCTGGATCTCTTCCATCTAGGCCCTCTGTCATTGAATGATCCGTGCAAATTTTGCATTTCCTGTTGTAGAAACGTACATTAAAAAATTGCAAGAACACTTCTCCTTTTTATTTTACAATGTAACAACAAAAAACTACACACAACCAAGAAAAGGGAAGACCCAGGTGTCAGTTTCTACCATGCACAAAATATGTCAGACATCAATGCAGTGACCAGATTGCAAAAAAAAAACTAGAAAATTCAATACAAAGGAAAGGATACATTATTATATTATTGTGCTTTCATCTGGCAGTGGGCAAGAGGCTTCAGGAAGGCAGGCTAGTGTTGACTGCTCTTGAAGGTCATCTTTCATGTCTTCACTCTGAGTACCATGTGTTTCATCGGCAGTATCAAGAGGGGTCAAAGTATGTGCAGTGAAAGCAATGGGCTCTGTGTCTAAGGTATCAACAGGCTCATTCCCATCAGAACTTGCAATTAAGTCCTTATCTTCAGGTTGACAGTTTCCTTCAGGTGATGTTTCTTCCTCAGGACTAATAGAAGGGTCTGTCACATCTTTGGCTTCTCCATCTCTTTCAACATCATCGAGGTCATTTGGCATTGGGGGCAAGTCATGTGGAGCTGTCAAAGTGGATTCTTCCTCGGATTGCTTCATGAGGCTCAACAAACTCTCTGATTCTGGATTTAAAAAAAAAATACAATGTTGTATTGTATGTCATAAATTGGGTTTCCCCATACATTCCCAACTTAAAATCCCAGTTGTAAACAGCTATAATTTCCAGCTGAGCCCTAGATGTAAATTCAGACCCATTCCAACTGGATAACAATTGGAAAGTAAAGTCAGATCCTGATTGATTCCTAGTTACAATATTACTGGTGGAATGAGAATATATTTATTAGTTATTCTTGCCAGAGGTCTACCTACAAAAGCAGCTAAATTTCAACTGTGAATTCAGCTGTATTCAAGCTGGAGGGTCCCATGTACAAAATTTTAACTGGAAACAGCTATTAACCTCTTCAGACCTGACAGCAAAGTTGCATGCTGATTTTGAAATCTTTAGGCTTGTTGCCAAAGCTCCACCTTTGATGGTCAAAGCCAGAAACCCAATATTTTTTATCATTCTTGGTATTGGATGAATAGAGTGGGATGTATACATACCACCAGGTTTTCCTCCATAGAGGTGTGCCATTGACAACATGCATTTCTCGACCATAAAAGAAATTTATGTAAGACAGTCATCAGGGATCATATTTGAAAATGTTTCAAGGCCTTGTCACTGTCATTGCACCAACAATAGTAGTAATTAGGCTGGATGGTATTTTGGAAATATGGAAGCACTGCGGTACCCCACATTCCCCACCCTGCTTGCAAGGGAGTGGTCATTAAACCCCTGGGCCCTCTGTACTGTGGTTCTCACTTTTTCAAATACCCAGTATGTGAACACCACCACAAGAAATGGATTCTTTGGTGAATGAAGAAATGGTGAATCAAATGGAAGGTACAGCCTGCAAATACACGTATATACCTGAAACAATCATGAGTGGTGGTTAGGCCCCCCCCCCTTCCTGATCTACCACTGTCCATATCTTTTGTCTCCTTTCTGGTCTTTCTCTTTGATTTTGCCTGCCTGGGGCTGGAAGGGCTCTAACACATGTCAGGTACATCAATGCCACTGCATTCAAACTGATGAAGGAGTGTGTTTGGACCCTGAAATGCCAATTTACTGATGCAGTGCCTCATGGTATTTGTACATCCCATCTATGTTTTGACCTATCCCATAAGAGCTCTATGATAAGTCAGATATCCCTTTATTTATAAATCGTTTCCCACACTATTTGGCAGTGCAGTTCAACATGTATAATAATTTTAGGGTCAATAATGAGCAATCAACAATGGCTTTTATGATCGCAGATGATGTGGGCAGCCATATTTAAAGAAGCACCAAGTTCACAAGCCCCTCCTGTGATGCAAACAGTCCAATGAGGCACATGCATTTTTTTGGGAACTCTGTTTAATTCTTCTATGACTTACAGTGTGATCCAAGACATAGAAGCGACTTCAGCAGGGATTTCAACGTGTTAATGTTTTGTATGCGTACATGCCACAGGGTCTGAAGAGGTCAATGCCAGCTGCACTCCATTTGGGAAAATCTAGCTGCACAACAACCTGTTTTCAGGTCTTAGCCACTCGAAAATGGTCAGAATTTACAGCTTTAGTCCAGCTCAAAATTTCAGTTGGGATTTCAAACTAGTTTGGAATAAGAAAGACACCTTCAAAGCTAAATCTCCTTCATTAGGAGGAAGCAATAAGAACTGGTGGGTCACACTTACCCGGGACACTTTTGCCCTGATCCTTGAGCTGCTGAATGAGGTGAGTGCGATCATCCTGTAGGGCACGAGAGATTTTCTTCAGCTGTGCTACCCTACGCTGCTCCCCCGTCAACTGTTCTGTCATCTGGACTATAGTCTCCTGACCCCTCTGAAATTTTCCCTTCCATGTCCGCAAGTCCCGTTCCTGACTCCTCATCTTCTTCTTCATCTGCATGGAAGTATGATTATGTTCTACTCTTCAGAATCAAATAAAAATTTGGAATCCTGAGGGAGTATAATGTACAGACCGACTCCATTTCAGTTTTAAAATCCTGAAAGATGGCATTGCTTTTTGACAAGGCCTCATGAAATTCCTGGTATTTTCCAGAGTAAAGATTCAGCTGACTTCTTAGGTTGATTTCCTGTGCATGCAACTCTCCCAGCTTCTTGTGGCTCTCTGCCAAGTCCTGTAACAAAGGCAGAAGTATAATGTTCAATTGAGGGGAGATTGCCAGGTCATGACACAGTATACCTACTAAATCCACAAGAAAAGTTTAGATAAACAACCAAAGAATAGAAAATAATAAACTTTAAAAAATGATGCTTTTAGCTACCTCAAGGAGTCTCTGCTTTTCCTTCAAATGAGTGTCCTTAAGTTCACTGTTTTGCAGGAGGGCCTTGGCCAGCTTGGCCTCACTCAACTGTAACTCCAGCTCCTTGTGCTTCAACACTTTCTCCACATGCTATGTCCCAGAACAAAACAATCATAACTAAGCTACTTTTCTCTTTTTAACTCATCACTTTGAAAATTGTTGGGACTGTACTTGTTCTCGAATTTCATACTGGTCGATGAGGTTCTTCAGTTTGGAAGCCATTTCCTGGTTTTCCTCCTGTAGGCGGGAGTTCTTCTGATTGTTTTCCTGGAGAAGGTGGGAGATCTCAGTGAGCGTTGACTGGAACTTGGCTGATACTTCCTTCCGCCGCTCCTCCTCTTCTCGTACCTTCAGCAGGCTTTCATCCTAAGACCAACTCTGTAAACTCAAATACAATACAACTATGTGAACAGTAGAGTGTATATTCAAGTATATGTCACCTTGATTGCACGATTCTGCTTTTGGAGTTCCCTGCAAAGGCCCTCAAGTCTAGTCCTGGCCAACACGGCTTTGGAGTGTTCTGATTGCACATGCTCCTTCTCTCTACAAACTGTCTGCAGTTGCCTCTCATTTTGCTTCATCACCACCTGGCAAATAATTTGGACATCACTTTGTAACAACCTCTACCAGAAGAAGTGAACCAAATGATAATGAGCATCAAATCAATTGGGTGAGAGTCAGGAGTCTCACTCTAAGGTTATGAGGCTATGCAGTATCATGATCTACAATGTAGAACACAGCTGAATCAAGCATGCGTACAATGCAATCATTCTCACGTTTAGTCTTCTGACTTCATCCTGAGACTCTGCAAATTTCTTACACAGGGCTTCAATCTTCTCCTCAGGTGTGACATAGGCACCAAGTGTCTTCATGATTTGGCTCAAGTTCTGACTCTCCTTTCTTCTACTTTTCTTTCTCCCACTGTTTGCCATTGCCTTCTCCTGCAAAGATGGATCATGTTGGCCATATATGATCATAACTTTCCAGGAATCAATGTTGGTTTTGATCGCATAATAGATATAGGTAATATATCAACACTTGGAGGGATTTCCACCAGCAAGGTCCGAAGCATAGACCTAATGCCCCTTAAAGAGTTTACATTAAGTCTACATCCTAATTTACAGAAAAATGTCTAACTGCTCAGAGGAAGGCAAGGTCTCATCTGTTTACATACTGTTCAGGTTTTGGTCCTAGCTTTAAAAATGCAAGCTTAAAATACTAAAGGTGTATGAATAGGCTGCTGTGATAGAAGTTCTATCCAATGTGTGGCTCTAGGTTTTTCTTAGGGATGTCAAGAAAAACAACTGCTTGCATTGACTTGACACCCAACTCAAACTACAGAATGTTACATATATCCTGTTACCCCTATGTGTTTCTTACGATATACTAATTGTGTTTCTCGTTTGATACATTAGAACATGAACATAGTTAATAATGCTATATGGATTATGTTTAGCAAGTAGCATGTAATTACATCAATGTAACTGTCAATAGGGTCAGTGTGCACTATCATTTTTACAATAGGGAATGATGCACTGCCATGTTCCGTGTTACATCCTCCATAACATTGCTGGAGTTACTTGATGGAATGCATTTGTCATAACCTCTTTTAGTTCTTCAGGGCTGACCTTATAGACAGTTAAATGCACATTGTCATTGCATGCAACATGCTAAATGTGATCTGTATAGGAAAATAAACTATGCTCATATTCTATTGTATAACATGAGAAACATAATTAGTATATCATAAGAAACACATAAGGGTAACAGAACATATGGAACATCCTGCAGAGCACCCTTCCTGCCACCTTCCCATCTAAAATATGCATTCTCAATTTTAAAAATATGCAGTCTTGATCATAACACCTAACTGCAAGTTGCTAATGAATATAGTGGCAACATTAAGCTTGTTGTCTCTGATATGATACAGGCAATGTGATAAGGGACACTCTCTCATGAAAGTAATGCCATGAGGCCTATGGTATCCATGTCACTTTTTCTGGTATTTCATCCACCCATTTTTACTGTCGTTACTCATAGTTCTATTGCTCAGCTTTTACGTTGGCTTAAGCGCCAATTACCCCCTCCCTAAAGCTATTCCAAAAAATGTTAGACCTGTCTAACTTAGCGACAGCTTGGAGAAGGACATTCCTACCTCTGTTGATGAACTTTCTGAAGCCTGATCTGTCTTACTTGAAGCAGATACGTTTCCATTGTCATCAGACTTCGCATTCCCCAACGGAAACGACTCCTGACACTTGGTCTCACTCAGATTAGGGACATTCGAAGGTTCTGGGACCTTGGCACTGTCCTCCTTCATCTCTTCAATTCCGATTTCATTCGCGAGGATCTCAGCACCCTGATCGTCTGGCATCGTTGAGAACGAGGACACAAAGTAGTACAAGTCAGACGACACAAGCAGACATGGAAGGGACAGGCGCAGCCATGTTCCAATTGTGTCTACTTCAGACCCAATTGCATAGATGTCGTCAGCGTTCGGTTATTCTCAATGTGATTATGGAGACTTTTTCAAGTCTGGGAGTATATCTATGGTCTAGCTGATGCAACGAGTTTCCCTTTTTCAATTTCAACCTCTCCAATGAATGATGTAAGATTTCCCGAGCTGCAGTGCTACTTAATTTTTCTTATTGCAATTAAATAAAAACCCATAGTCATCTGACTTGCTCCTCCTCCCATTCCAGGGCGAAACTCTGCATATCATATTTCATCATTCAATACAGTTTAATGTTTGATAACTGGCACTAGGAACGGATTGCATCATTAATAAGTCATGTTTCAATTCATTGTGGAAGAATGGAGCGACTTCAAAGTAGAAGGTGAAAACAGCGTAGCGTGGATGGAAAGAGTGGAGAGGAGGGCACAGGAACTCTTAGACACCATTCTCAGGCATTTCATGTGTCCTTTCCTACTTCTTTTTGGTTTTGTTTCTAAAAGTGAGTGAAAAGTGTCTTCTGATGCTTAGATAATGATTGCTCCCAGACGAAAACCTAATCGATACCCCTCTTGCTGAAAACGACGGACAAACGACATTCCGATGTTTTGCAAAATACAGTGAGGCTACCCCACGATGAGCAAAAAGTAGTATTTGGGTAGCTCTGACACGGATACGAGATGCGTTATCGTTCCTCACCGAAGCCAATCACGTTCCGCTTTGGAACGCGAAAGGCTTCATGAATTCTGCTCGGATGGAAGCGAAAGATGATCGGTCTGGACCCTTCCGTGCGATCGATTGGGTCTCGGTCGAAACGAAATGGACTGGAAAACGATGATAAACTCTCTCTTCGGGGTGCAGGAGACATCATTACATCATCGGTGTACCCTCTCGTATTAACGGAACCGGAAAAGGGACCCTATGGCTTAGGGCAAAAGACACCGCGGGAGATGATGCAATCCCCCGCCCGCTTCTTTCTTTCTCCTTTGAGTCCGATGCATATGTTATGTATATGGAAATTCCTTCGTGATACTCGCTATACGGTGTGACGATGTGGCTTCCTTGTCTCCTGTTCGAGTTTATGACGATTCCGTGGAACCGATCGTGCATCCGCGAGTTGGAATTCCTGAGATATTGCAGGGGGGGGGGGGGGCGCATAGGAGGAAGAAGGGAGGAGGAAGGGATTCCATAACTTCGTTTCCACTTCCCTTTTTAGTTTCTGGCTTTTGCACGGCAAAATTGTTTTGCTTTTTTTTCGCAGCAGTATTCTAAAATGACTTATTTCACCTTGAAAATGCGATTTTTCCCCTCAGCGACCTATAGAATGATTCAATCAATTGGGAGCTATTCCTGAACAAACGAAACAAGAGATAATGGCAGAAGCTCAAGTCTGGATTGCATTCTTAACGAATACAGTTTTCCGATATTCACATCGTTGTGTACATGATATCGTTTGCCTGTCCCGTAGCACTTAACCTTTGCCGCCCGATATCTGGAACGTTCGTCTCAGGAAGGTTAAGTCATCCAGAAACGAAATTATTCCCTGAAATATTTGGAAATGAATAAAAAAAAGTATTTGAAGATAAAAGAAAAGGAGCAAGCAGGGGTGGGAACTAGGAAAGGCCGCCTCCACGACGCCCGAGACCGATCTGAGACCGATCTAAGACCGATCTGGGACCGATCCGACACGCCGACACTAAAGCCTCACTTCCCCTTCCTACTTCATGAGGATTCCTCGATGCCTTTTGCTATTCCCTAAGAAGAGAAATTAGGCCTAACGGATCAGATGTCACGAAGTGTGTCACGTGGTAATTTTTCGTGCTCCTCGTCTTTTGTGGTCGCCTTTAGGAAAGGCTAAAAATGTCCCTCCCCTAAAGACACCGAAAGTTCATCGGTGAAAGGCACGGCGAGTCGGCATCATCTCGGCCGTTTCCACACGAGAACGTTATTATTTTTACGTTTGTCATCGTTATAAATATATTGTTATTATTGCTTTTTTTATTTCGTTACATATGTATTCTTTTCGTTCGTCATCGTCATATGCACAATACGATTATTTCTGAATTGTAACATTTACGTAATCTCGGGTTCTCGGGCTGATTAACTCCGAACGACGCTCGGACGGGGGATGAAAAATGGTACCGGATTGCGTCAGGTGATCCGAAATGATAAATGGAGCGAATGGATTCCACTCCATCTCAATATCGACCCCTCGAGGTCAGACGATAGGCTTCCTACGTGGCTCCCGACCCTCTCTCATCTCGACGCCGATCGATGAGGAGATTTTGCAACGGCCGAGGAGATGAGGGAAAAACGGATGAAGGACATCGGACGATGACAATGGGCACCCCCACGGCCTTAATAGATCACCGAGCTCCTTCGTGCTCTTCCGTTCCCTCGACAGGAGGTACCCACTCCGTACTTTCTACGGTGCCCTGGGCAGAAAGATGGATTTTGCTCCCAGGGGCACGTCTCTTACGCCACGTTCCCCCCGCGTGTTTGTCTTAACTCGGACCAGATGTTCCGAGATCGGTGGAGTCATGAATTATCGGCTCCTTCTTACGACGAAATGCGAAGCTTCCGCGGCTGCGATGTCGGAACTCTTTTTTTCTTTTTATCGTTTTTAAGCCGCTGCTCTGCGGTGATGCCACCAGGTCAATATACTATAATAATTATACGGTGCAGGTTTACTCTTGTTCCCCATTAGCCCTCTAATTGCTTTCCATTTTCCTTGATGGTGAGCCCTGACCTAACGATGAATTTTCGTTTTTTGGGTGGTGCAACGGTGCAATGCACGAGGAAAGTTTCTCGAGTGTACTGAGTGACGATCATATTGCCTTCCTTCTCAGAGTTCACCCAAAATAATAAAGATAAATGAATTGTGTCAGTGAGAGTTTTTTTTTATCGTCCATGTAGCTCAAACTTTGTGACCCCCCCACACACACACACACGCAAATACACACACATGTGCTCTAAAAACGGCTTGAAATCGCCGAGGGTAGAACAATAAAAGCAGGAAAAGGTGAAGATGAAGTGAATATCGGCAAGTTTTTCATAGACCTCCTTCAAGTGGCATTCCATTATCGGGGGAAAATGGTTTTCTGTGGTTTCCCCGTAACGAGAACGGATTTCACCTTCTCCTTTGAGACGATCTTTTCGTCTTCCGACGGAACGACGGAAGGGTCGTCTCGAGGGTGATCTTTCGAAAAATTTTCACTTCGTTCATGCTCTTGACAATTCGCGACCGCGATCGGCAAGTCCTGACGGCTGCTCCAGAGCGGCACTTGTTGCTACCTCCGATCGATAAGCCAGCCTTCTCTTCTGTAAAGATGGTAAAAACATGAATATATTGCAAGGATGAAATACTGAATGTTATTGAAATAAATAAATGATCATTTCCTTTCATGGCATCCTCAGCGGAGGGGGGAGGACGACACTTTCATTGTTTGGCATCCTGTAGGGGGATACGTCGCCGTTTTAAAAGCTCAGTGATCGTTGGAAATATGAAAATAAATAGACACCTCAGTAGTCCGCCTTTAATCTGAGGGTGCCGCAGTGCGAAAGGGCACCTCGATCGTCTGGTTCCGGTCCAAGGACCGGTCGAAGGACGTCCCGGTCGTCCGTCTCTTCGAAAGAGAAGGGGAAAGGAGATCCGCGTTCCAGGCCTCTGTCTATCCCATTCGCAAATCGGTTGCTCAAAAAAGATGAGTCACTCGGGGTCACGGGGGAGGAGGAGCTGCACACAGGCTGCCCAGCATTTCCCTTGGCATCGCAACCAGTTGCGGTCAAAACGACTGATTTCAACGATGAATCCCAGTTCGAAACTCGGCCAAATATTGCGTACTGAACGTCGAGCGGCGGAAAAAAGACCCAATGCGAAGTCGTCGAATTCCATGCGACAGTCATATGCACAGATATCGACAGTCGTATCTTCGCAGTATCGTGATCATCTAGGTAGCTAGGGTTGGAATCATCGAGGAAGGAGCGGAATCGAGGCGATCGCTCTTCGTGCGAAGAGACCGTTCTCTTACGCATCGAATGCACCGCCCCGCAGATCTCGGTCTCGATTTCGGAATTCTGCGTTGGGAGCTACACGACCCGGTGATGGATGGACTCCGGATGGGTAACCTGGTGATGGATGAACTCTCGGTGATAGAATAGTCGAAGAAAGACCATAGGGGCTTCGAGAGAGTACCGGCTGGAGCTCTGCCTTCATCATCCTCGATTTTATTTGCTATAACATTATTTCCGGTTGGGGTTAGCGAAGAGAGGGAGAGAGAGAAAGAGAGAAAGGGGGAAGGGAGGGAGAAAGAGAGAATTGATACATCCAGACTAGGGCTGACGATTTAAATTTTTTCCAGAAACAGTTTACCGCCCCTCAAAGTTGCGTCGGTAAGCCGGGGTACCGATTTGGAATGGCGGTACTATGAGCTTTTCTTCTTTTCTTACATTTTTTTTTTAAACTGATATTCGTCTTCACTTCCGATTCTTTGCCAAAGACGTGGCCAAGTCTGACAGCGAACGAGATCGCTTGGCATTTGCAGTGTTTCCTTCGGCCAAGAACACACAAATCAGGTGTCGCAAAACCCTTAAAGTTAAAGCAGAACTATAAGCAGAATGCTTAAAAAATTGCATATCCTATGGGAGATGCAACCCTCCCCCCCCTCGGTCCCCCACCCACCAATACAGCGATGTCGAGGCACATCGATGCCGTCCCCACTCTCTTCTCCTTTCCGTGAGCTTGGATGTCTTCCGGAGGCGCTTGAGATGCCGTCTCTGCTTGCTTCTTCCGGACACATCCCGCTATCATGAATAATGGAGGATGGGTGCGAGAACGATCTCTCTCTCTCAGCTCGCTGCGTCATGCGTGTCGTTTTCTCAACCTTCCTCTTCGTCTCTAATTATACAGTCTCTTTCTCTCATTTCGTGGTATCTATTACTCGCTTTCGAAATATTACTCACAAATCTTCAATAGCTCTAATACAGACACGATACCGCAAATACGATACACCA